AGGAGAGGGGGGGGGGGTTGTGACAAAAACGTATTTAAGCTTATGTTATGTAGTGGAGCGGGTTTTGGCATAATGTATGAACGCTTAAAGGGTGTTAGACCTATGACCAGAGGTTATTGAAAATATTATTTGATAACCACTTAGACGTTGTCCACAAGTACGTAGCACTCTGATGGATGGGTCATGCCAATGGGTATGTCACCATGTTAAACTCCTATGTACAGTTTGAGTCAGATATTTTGCAACGACTTTGAAAGTAATTTTTGAAAAAAGCATTGTATTTAAAACACTGAAAACACCACCAAACTGTAGCTTATATATTAAGCTTTCATTTGATATGTTATTTGACATTAAAGTATTTGCCACAATAATTATTATCGACAACTGGTGTGATGACTACTAATTCAGTCTTTCCAGGCAAATATTTTTAATTTTTAGTTATAAAATCTGTTTTAAAATATAATTATTGCTTAATTAATGAATAAAATTGATAAATAGTTATATTTCTTGTTTTAAAACCAATATCAGTTCAATGCTGTAGTTAATTAATTTATAAATAAAGTTTAAACTTTTACCAAATTATGCCAATTTTGTTTAATTCAAAACGCATTATAATAATGCATAGAGTTCTTCATAGACTGGAAAACTGAATTAGTAGTGATCACACTAAATATAAGTTATAATTGTTGTAACAACTATTTTAAAGTCACATAACATATCAAATGAAAGCCTAATAAATAAGCTACAGTTTAGTGGTGTTTTCAGTGTTTTAAATTGAATACTTTTTTCAAAAATTACTTTCAAAGTCGTTGCAAAATATCTGACTCAAACTGTACAATAGGCGTGCAGACGACGGGAGGGTCAATTTTTCCGTACGTACTTTGTGAACGCCTCCTTAATTCATTCCTCATGAAATAAAACGTCAAAATTTATCTAAATATTTGGTATTCAGACTTTGAAGCTTGACATTGAACAGGGTCTCTTTTTTAGATAAGGATTGTACTTTGACCTTCAAAGTTATATAAATCACCCTGCCAATTAATTTGCAAATTGTCTATTTATAATTATGGGAAAATGTTTGTGTCAGGGCAATAAGTGCAATATTTGTTTGTGGGTTTTAGCATAGGTTAGAAATTTATTATTTTATAATTTCTATGTATTTGTATTTTAATAATCACTATTTTATAAAAATCATTTTAAGTATTTTATGTAATTTACTTTAAGTTTATTTTTTTCCCAACATTTGGGATAATTTGATTTTATAGATTAAAATAAAGCGTCTTGTTATCAAGGTTACAGTAATGAATAATAATAATAATTAATAAAATGTTTGTCAGATTATGTAGTAGTTTATTGATTTCTAGTTAGTAACATAAAGTTTTCACAATTAACAAATTTAGAGTAAGTTATCAAACGATTGAGAAATTAAACATTTATATTGTAATACAATTTGCACTAATAGTTTAATAATAAATATAAAATGTATATGAAAAATGTTGAATTTATTATAATTTAGATATTTTAATATTATTCTATACTTTAAAACTAACTAATTTTAGTAAAATGACACTTGGTAAACACATCGAGGTCTATATTACATCATAATGCATTTGTTAGTGCAGTATTAGTGTACGCACCTGATTTAGTGCAATGTTAGTGTATGTGATGATAACAAATACATTTTTAAAAAATCATATTATTAAAGCTATATAGCGAGTTAAATGATTATCATTGACCGGTAAATACTTAAGTACTTAAATACTTTTAATTGCCAGATACAAACATTATATAAAGGTTAGAATTTTCTAATTTCTCACTGCTAAGATTACTTACTGCTAAGATAAGTGGTTTTTTATTGGGTTTATATTTTGTCATATCTCATACTAAATAATAATATATTATTTAAGATATGATTAATTCAATGATTTCTATACTTTCACTGATATTATGGTTAACTTTAAGCCAAAGTAATGCCAAAGAGATCAGCGTTTCGGTGGAGAAGGGAGTGATTGTCGGCAACACTCGGCCCACAGTTGACGGCAAACAAGTGAACGAATTTCTGGGCATTCCTTACGCCAAACCACCCAAAGGTGACCTCAG